AAGTCGATTCGTTGAAACCTTTGAGTTATGTTTCCGGCCAGTTAAAAAAAGTGGTTTCTCGAAATAAAAAGTTTTTGTTGCCATTCAGCGTAAGAATTTCGTATAAGGTATACATATACCTTCAATCAGCTATGCTTGCTCCATATGATTGCCTTCTATCTCTTCTTTTCGGCTTAAGAGACTCAATGCGACCTCTATAATAGATAAATAACTATTGTAGTATAATAGTAATTTATTTGTTAGTTCTCGGAACGGATCGACCAAAAAGTAAATTATTTCAGTCAACACTAATTTTATGGAAAAGTTAAGAGTTCCAAGTAGGTTTAGCGACGCTACAAGGCCGTCCTTCGGGGAAGGCCCCATGAAATTTAGCAGTATTTTTTAACAAGTTCACTTAGACCGTCGGGGCCATGTGTTGAGCATCTGGTATAAAGAGAAAAATCGATATTTCTAATAACGCGCGAAATGCATTTGAAAGAACACGTAGGAATTCCAAGATATTCAAATAAGTTGTTAAATTTATAACAATTGGAAAAGAAAGATATATGAAATAGCTGGTTTTAGGTGGGTTTTCCAAGCTATAAGAATATATTAAATGAGATTGACTAATCCGTCCCGTATTGCTACATGAAGTGACTAGAGGAAGGCTAGGGTTACTTATAAGTTCAATTAGTCACAGAACTATTTATATAAATGTAAGTCCAGTTAATTATCTAATTAACTAGTATCATGGTATAGTTATACCAAAGCGTCCCGATATTCAGGGTTCCCGCCAGTAAGATAAGAACAGAAACGTCTGGACCCAAGAAACGGGCGTGTCTAATCGAGGTGACGAATGCAGGAGAAATCTCCGAAAAAAAGGGCAGTTTTTCCTTGGGTTCCACATCGAGCAGTCTACTTAGTTTTAGAGTCTCGGGTTAATTTAATAATGGATAAAGTCATTCCAAATTTTGCTATGGATCGCGCATTCCCTGAATTTCCGTACGTTGTCTCGTGTCAATAAATTAATAATTAATTTTTCGAGCCCGTTGTGTTGTTATTTTGTTTGTTTGTTTTGTTTTTATTGTTAATAAAACCCTTCCTGGAACGTTCTGGTGTTTTCTTGTTCTTCCAACTTAAGTGTCACCCTATGCAACCAACTACTGGATTACCTTGTGCATGAGCGACATACCGTAAGTGTCTGGTATTCATTCTCTGAACATACAACATTTCTAAGTTCCCACGTATTAATGAAAGTATAATGATAATTATAAACTCCCTTTCGAGACGTTAATAGTAAACTATTTTGCAAATTAATATCGTTAGATAGATAAATGAAGAAATAACACCTTAGGTTACACTATTGGTTGCATTTCTACCTTGAAAAAACTCGTGTCCCCAATTTTTCCCCCACCTAAAACTTTTTTTCTACATTCTTCACATAAGAAAGCATTGTTTAAATTATTTATCCGAAAATAAAATTTTTCAAAATTCTGGATTGGCGTTACCTACCCCTTAAGGAGGTTTATCGGGTACGTCGAAAGTCAAATGAGAGTTTATGTAGATTTGCTAATGACTAAAGTAGTAAGCATTTAGATTTGGCAACGCTACACTTGGCTGGCGCGCTCGGCTCGGCGTTCGCTCGCTCGTGTTCGATCTTTCTGTTTGTTTGGATGCCTAAGCTTGAAAAGTTTTGATAGTTTTTTTTTCCTTAGGTCGAATAAGTCATTAGATCTTACTTTATTTACTTTATCTTCCAGGGTCCCCCACAGGAAGAACTACATGGGACCAAATCAGGACGTCTACTTTCATTATTGACGGCGAAACGAGAGACTTGATAATTGAAATTTATAGAAAATATGCTCCTCCTTAGGTCACCAGTAACAACATATTGTCGACTGTCTGTCAGCTATGGTAAAGAAAGTGTTGTGTTTAGTCGATAGCTTTTATGTATTTTTTTCGGGAAGATACCAAGCAAAATGTATAGATATTGTAACCCTTTCTTTGGAATTAATCCCCTTTTTTTTTGGCTAGTTAGCTTTTCAGTGGAGGCGTGGGTTCTTAAAACAAAAATAAACAAATTAACAAAACACAAGAAAATTAAACGGATTTTAGGGCGCCAAGTGATTTCAGTAATTTCTAAGTACCCTCAATCGAAAACTTTATTCGAGAACTATAATGAGGAAACCACTAAACATTCAATATAGATTTATTATAATATGATTTGAATATTTGTACAGGGTACTTTAAATTTAAATGTATATGGACACTAGTATAGGAAGACAAAACATTATATAAATACACATCTAAAAAAAAATATATGCCAAAGGACCCTTGCAAAATTGTAACCGACAACTGTTTCAAATATGGTCGGGTAATGGAAATTCTTATGCTAAATAATCTGAAACTAATTTTATATACAAAGGTGCCAACACTTATGGCTAATATTGATCTTTCGAATCGGTGGAAAAAGAAAAAGGTTGAGTCTTGAACTATTAAATGCTTGGTACTTATCTGTGACGCCTTAAGATAGTAACAGCATACGCGATGAGGTGGTACCTTTTCTGCGGGACGAGGGATAGTCGCTGGCTGAGTAGATTGTATTTAAATCTGCAACGGTTTCTTTTCCGACCGATGACGAAACTCTGGCATACTAAAACTCTGGCTTATAGAACTCGCTGGGGGTGTTCTCCAAAAAAAATTGTCGTAGGACAAAAAACTACTACCTCCCAGGTAAAACGTCTAAAAGTGTAGATAAAAACAAATAAATAACGTTGTTCTGTAATGAGTTAGGACTTGAATTATATTTTTATAGAAATTTTGTGCACGCTTACCTCCAATGCCGAATTCCCTAACAATGGAGACGTAACAGACAAATATGGTTCAATTTAAAAGAAAATCTGGCACGCTCTTCAACTAAAACTTACTGAAACTAAACAGCGATGCCTTTTATTGCGAATCGTGGTTTTAATCCTTGCAAATCACGTATAATAATTAGCAATAGTAATTATTTTGCCGACACCCACGACAGCTAGCCATTTTACAAAACTCGAACAAAAACTCCACGAGAAACGCTCTTTACTCTACGCGAAGCGACGTTTTTCGGCAACCGATAGTGTTATCTTCCTCTTTTTTAAAAATTTAAATACAAATACCTTTCCACTCTCCCATAGATGTCCCTCAGTGTTCGAAAATATTATTTATATATATAAAAGCGCTTATTATATCAAGATATGTCTTAATGTTGAAGAGGCGTGGTGACTGAAAGTCATCGATGATAGCCAGTTGTTACGTAGAAGAATCAATTAAAATAAATTTGGGATTTCGAATCAAAATTTGCTGATAGAGTCAACTAAGGAAGCAATCTCAAACAATGCCATTTCCGCCACTGATATATCGTCTCCTACGTCGAGGAATTAAGAGTTGCCTAGAATTTCCACTGCGTTAATGGCAAAGTAGATGTATAAAAGCCAATTTCTTACATTTGAAATTATACAGGGTGTTTCTATTAAAACTTCCCACTTGGAAAATATTAAAAAAAAACTGAGACACGTCGATTTTACATGTTTCCATCCAGATTTCCCTGTAGGAAGGAAGGCGGTCTCCCAGTACGCCTACCCAAACATTCAATTTCCTCGGATGCTGCGTATGAGTTTCATGAAAAATGCTTGGATTTTCACTCCAGAAGCGGCAATTATGGCGCTTGACTCGACCATCCAGTTGGAACGTACATTCATCAAAAAATAGACTGAGTACAAAAAATTTGGATTACTTCGAGAACGATCACTCATTCCTTCACATAACTGTAAGCGGCGATCAATACCGTCTTCATTAATTTCTTGTACAAACTAATTATTTTCACTTTTTCAGCAATTGTATAAACCATATTCACGACTTGGAAATCAATGGACTTTGTGATCATTTTACGTGGTATTGTTTCGACGAGGAAATATTGTCTCGTTTAAAGTAAAAGTGATAGTCAAAACAAATTTTTTATCGAGAAATTCTTAAAGAATGTCTTCAGATAATGCTCGAAATGTTACAAAATGTTCGCTCGGAACTGGAGCAAAGATTTTATTATTGTATGGAAGCGAGTTGAAACCAATTTGAACACTTAATAAAACAACGAATAAAAGAATTTTCATTTAATTGCCAGTGTTGCGAGAAACAACTACTCCGCGCCCTCTGTGGGCGGCAGTCGTGCAACACATCCATATGAATGGCACAGTTGGGAGTCAGCACGACAGATGGAGCCATTTGCGCTCCGCGTACAAAATAATTTTCTATTCTCATAATTCAGTTTTCGATTTTTAATTTTGTTTTTTGTTTTTGTATTACTTATGTAGCTGTTTCTGTTATGTTTTTATGAAGATTTTTAGATATACTAATCCTTATGTGACTTTACCGTTTTGCTATTTATTGATGACTGACATTGTTTCTGATTAACGTTTGTACTTTTTGGTAAATTTTTATTTTTATTTTTACTTAATTTAAATGTATGTGCTTCTTGTGTTAATGAGTTTTTATTGTAGCTGTAATATTCATCCTGTAATTGGGTTTATCCCGCTGAGCGAATTAAAATGAAATAAATAAATAACATTTTCATTCATTGATATTTTGTCTTATTCTTTATTTTTTATTTCATATCCAAACCAAAATTTAAAAAGTCGTCGGTCATCGTGAGCAGAGTTGAAAAAGCTTTAAAATGAGGTGTTACTCAACATAGGGTGCTATTTAATGTTTAAGTGTATTTTACGCCCCTGTCCAAGGGGTAGCTCCCTAGACATCAAAATTTACACCATCATGTGTTCCGCTTGAAAAGAAAATCGATGTATCTCAGGTTTTCCTGTTTTTTTAATGCCGATATTTTGCATGTGGGAAGTTGTAATTGAAATACCCTGTATACAACGCTGCCACTTTACATAATTATAAATAAAAACAGTCTATTATAATTTTTATCTTGTAATAGATATTGATCTCAGAACTATTAAAGCGAATTGATTAGTTAGTTTAATAAGTGGTAAATTTAAAAACAGTTTAATTATTGCAGTTTCAGTCAAGATATTTGTTCTAATTAACAAGTATATGACTAATTAGCGCCAATGCGGGGTTCAATCAACTTAGAAGGATCATCATCATCGGAAGTACCTCCCTTACATGAACAATCTATCTTTGATCCATTTGTAGCAGTCCCCTGTTCTTTGTTGAAAAAAATATTTATTGCCGGAGTCGGTTGTGATTCACAGTAACTAGAACTTTCTGCATTGCGACTTTCACAGATGAAAAGAAGTTCGCTTTCACAGTTCAAGGCGCCCCATTGGCCACCGGGATACAACTGAAGACAAAATTGATTATCTCCGCTCTTTGGTTCTTGATCGTACCAGTTGGTGTAAACAATGGGTTGAAGTTTCGACCATGTCCACTTATTGGACTGTTTTACACCAGACGTCCAGTAGTAGTCATTAGAACCTTAAACATGTAAAATAATACATAGATAAATATAAAAAATTTTGACTTTATCAATTACACAGACGCACAAAAAAGTGGTATGCTATTTTAATAAGATTGTTATGTCCTGGAACCTGCTGAATACGAAGATTCCATCATTTTAGAGGAAGTGCCTCCCAAATTCTCAAAAAATTAGTAATTTGCGAATATGTTTAAGGATTGTAACGTCGTTGGAGAAGCTGATCCGTATATAGGATTCCATAACCCTACCCTCATGTTTTTTTAGCACAGTTTAGCACCGTTATTGAGAAAATGCCCACTCAATTAATAAAAAAGTTGTTTTACAAATATACCAGAGAGGTATCAGATTTAGGGTAAAGGTGTTCGATAGTTTTTTTAACCAGCACTTTTGCTTGTAGCGAACTTTCTTGTCTTCAGTAGATCTATTTACTGGATTTCTTTATATTTTTACCCCCAACTTTATATTCTCTTGTCAACATTCAGCAATAGCCCATTATCATATCCATATCCCACTTGTCCTGATGTATTTCTCCAGAGAGACCATAAATTTAAGATTCATTAGTTATCTGAAATTCTCCACCATTTTGGTGATGAGAGTTTTATAATTATTTGTGATAATCCAGAAGGCTTTGTTACATTTTTGAAGCTTCGCCATGTAGCTTTTTCAGTTTCTTTCACATTTATCCCCCATGTCATTCACCTTTGTCCAAAGCCCCAAGTTTTTTAGTCGTAATGATATTTGCTATCTCTATTGTCCTACAACCATAGCAAAAAGGGATACTTAGTAAATTCTGATTGCTGTCCCAAGATAGTAGTAAATAAATTCACCCCTTGTGCCCTGAATATACAGGGTCGGAAAGTCCCCATGATTCATCGGACGTTACGTGAGAGTGATAAAGTAAGTCATAGAAATCCGTGCGATAGAGAAAGATGGCTATAATGAAGGTGTCTAATAGTCACCGCCCATTTCGCCCTTCCACAAATAAGAAGTGGATCTTATTTGTGGAAGGGCGAAATGGGCGGTGACTATTAGACGCCTTCATTATAGCCATTTTTCTCTATCGCACGGATTTCTATGACTTTCTTTATCGCTCTCACGTAACGGCCGATGAACCATGGGGACTTTCCGACCCTGTATATCGTTTTTGTTTTCCAAGACATACTTTGTTACAGCTTTCAGTTTTGTTGAGTGTGATTTTGGAACTGAAGAATACTTACTACCGTTATGTAGCACAACTGCTTTCATGGTTCGTTTTGAGAAGTCGATGGATAACATCCATTCGGCTTTAAAAGTTATTTATTATCCCTTTAACTTCGAGACAATAATACATTAAAGTACCTTCTCCATTTGACGAAAATTTTTCCGAAAACTTCGGTTGATACACCGAAGATTTAATTCCATCTAATAGGAAACTTCTCTAGTCCCTTCTCTAACTAACTATTCAGCTCCGTCTTTTTCGTCTCTTTCTTCGTTTTCCCTCTTGAAAGTTTTCTTCTTTTTCAACTCCATTTTTAGTAGTTACTCTTGACGTGATTCTTTTTCTAAAAAACGTTCGTATCTTTGATCTGATGTACCTTAGCTTACTACGTTAGTCATAGAAAAGTTTCAGACTAGGAAAACAATATTCACAAGTAACCCATTTTTTGAAAATTTGGAGTATATTTTTTCGAAAATTGTGGGTGTTGGGGCCAAACAAGTTCGTATTCAGCAGGTCCAAAAACGTATCAAACGAACAGACCATTTTTTTTATGTCTGTATATTGGCGATTCCCTAAAACAGAAAACACCTTATTCTACTTCCAAATTCTAATACATACTCAAATTTTGGGTAAGATGTTTCGCCAAATTCGGTTATATGCTAAGTGCTGATTTGCCGTGAATATTACCAGGATCTCGGTTTTCTTAAAAGTTCATAAAATTACATCAAAGTTGCAAATTTTGGTGACCAACAATAGAAACGATAGTAACCGACATAAAACTATATTATTATTCATTCGTCTTGATAGGCGCCAGAGCTAATACTATGGATTTTAATTCTTTACAGAAAAGTAATAAAACTAAAATTAAAAAATTCTGTTTTTTTATATGACTGCAAATTCAAAACCAAAAGACATTAGTCAAATTTCTTCGGTAAATTTTCCCTACATTAATTTATCTTGTATCTCTTAAGACAACCGAGATCTCATTAATGCGATTCATAAAAACGATGATCAAACACTATATGTAATTGCGTAAATATAAAATATCAAAAATTAAATGTAGACTTATCTATTGAGACTCTATCACAAATAATAGCTCAAGAAACATCTATTCGTTAAGAATTTTTTTTCATGTTCTAAACATTATAGCCCAGAGAAATCATTTAATACACTAATACACAAATATTCCATTCCAACTTATATTTAACCAATTTTTCATAATACGGATTTTTAGAAAATAGGTAAAGAAAGAAAAATTATACATTTAATATTTGACTACCTACTTACCACGTAGGTTAATCATGTCGGTGACAATATCATTCTTGGCTTCATTAGGTATACTAAACAATTCCATTCCATACTGTCTGCATGTTTGGGAGGCTTTTCGTTGAGTTGCCTATATATAAGAATAATTGTTATATTGAATAAATTCTTGGAGCCTATAAAAATTGTATCAGCTTTTTAAAAATATAAATATGACTACTACAATATACAGGGTGTTATTTGAGTACGTAGCCAAACTTCAAGGCATGATATTTTAAGTGATTCCAAGACGAAAAGTTTATATAAACATAGGTCCAATAATGTTTCGTTTTCAAGATGTCAAACTTTTAAAAAAATCATTTCTTCGTGAAACTCTTAATAATCCTTTAGCCGATTTTATTGAAATTTGACAGTGTTATTTATAGCTAATTTTGCCCTAACTAGACTAAGTTAAATGTGGGCTACTGACTTTTCTAAAATTTTTAAATTTTTTTCGCATTAAGCAACTAAGAATACAACTTTTTTGTCTCTGATTTTTTTTTTCATATCTTGCTTCCTTTTGGGAGAAAAAAAATTAAATCACTGACGATGCTTATTCACTCTTATAAAAGATGTCTTATGGAACCATCTTTGACGAATGAAGTTGGTAACGATATGATCATTTGGCTAATAGTGTTTAAATTTAATGCAGTTTCAAAAACAGTCTAAAAATGTGGTGGTCATATGAAATATATATTTTACATACTTTAAATTTGCTGATCCGAACTTTGTTTCCACCAGCAATCGTCAAAGGCAGTAAGGGGTTTTCTGGGTATTGATCAGTATAATCTACAAAAATAGGTTGATTTACAAATAATGTAAAAATTAAAAAATATTAAAAAAATTGAACATTGAATTGTAACATTAACGAACACAATGAAACATAAACCCAATGTTCTATTATTTTTTGTCCTTTTGTTCATGTTCTGTTCTTAAGCTTTCTAATTTCTTTTTCCAATCATAACCTCCATATTTTTTTCTCTGATAATTCTTAGACTTTTTCAGATTTTCATTCTAGCTATAACTAAAATTGAATCCTATTCATTTAAATTCTTTCATTTCTCAATTATGTCCAATTAACTACTTGTATAATACGCATATATGCGATTAATTATATTATCAAGAATAATCTTACCTCCAAATTCAATAAAAGGAGTAACAGTTGGTCTTGGTTCAAATATAGATTCATTGCCATGCAATAAATTGTCTTCATACCGCTCACAAATAAAGAAAATTTTAACTTCACAATTGAAATCGTTCCAAAATAATCCTTCGTTTCTATTCAGTACAAGCTCTATACACATTTCGTTTACGTTATCTGGTTGACCTGGAAGCCAATTGGTATATTCTACAGTTCTTCCTGTTGAGAGCCAAACCAAATTTTTTCCATTAAGAAGTCTACAGCCGGATGTCCAAAAGTGGTCTCCTGCAACTATAAATCTTTGTTTTCTTAGATTTGTATAAATAATTGTTAAGTAAGTAATATGCACGGTGATTTGCAAGCCTCGTTACAAATTTTATCAATTGAAAGTAGATATTTTGGAACAAAGAAAATGTTATATTGACATAGATCCAATTTTATTTCGAAGTTATATCAATTCAAACTAATTAAAATTGAAATTATAATGATCAAGTTGAAAAATTCGAACAAAAAATATTCTAAAGTACAGCTTTATTCTAAAAAAATGAACTATTTCTGACATATGAAGATGAAAAAATCCAAATGTCTTTGAAGATGTTTGACCTAGATGATGAAACTTGTTAGTTCATTAGACAAAAATCCGTTGCAACGGTATATACAGGGTGATTAATTAACAATGGGAAAATCGAAAGCTGAATATACTACACGTGAACTGGTGTCCATTGGCGCAAACATGCCTTATCCGAAAGATGATATTTTAGGAAATACAGGGTGTTCAAAGTTAAAATTTTTGCAATTATTCTGAAAATATGTAGGTTAGGAACTTGAAAATTTGTGAAACTATATTTTTTTGGGCGACGAATAAGATGCGTGTTGTAATTTCAGCATTGCTCGTAGAGGGCGCCACTTACGACCATTTTACCGAAAATTTAGTTAATAACTTTTTACCCTGCATGTCTAACATGAAACTTTATTCAAAACGTGAAAGAGCAATCATTTTTCCATTAATTATGTATTCTTGTTTCATTTCGGTATCTCGATCCGTTTTCGAGAAAAATCGATTTAACGAACACTACTCGTATGTTTTGATAATACGAGAAATTAAAAGCGAAACAAGCCAAGTGTTTCTTCATGTTATCACAACAATGAACAATAAAACAAATGAAATTCGTAATAATAATTTAAAGTCAGTGTTCGAAGAATCCACCGTTGACATTTACACACTTTACACAATGTTTTCTGAGAGATCTTCGAGTGTGAGACAACATATTGGGATTGCGTTAGACTTCGTTGGCAGCGATTTGTATTCTTTGCCACAACTCTTCACAGGAACCAATATATTCTTGCAAATAGAAAAATGAAGAGGATTGAAGTCCGGACTTCTGGGTGGCCAAGTAAAAATGCTTCCACGGCTTGAAGAAGTTCCACTTTATTTAAGAAGAGACATGTGGTTCATGCACGACGGAGCTCCACCGCATTTTTCTTGGCCAGTGCGTGCATATTTAGATGTAGTTTTTCCAAATCGCTTTACTGGCCATGTAATCATTTTTGCTTGGCCATCCAGAAGTCCGGACTTCAATCTTCTTGATTTTTCTATTTGGTCTCGAATGTAAGATATAGTTTACAAAGAATCTATTGGCTCGTGTAAAGAGTTGTGGCAAAGAATACAAATCGCTGCCAACGAAGTCAGACGCAATCCCAATATTTCAAACTCGAAGATCTCTCAGAAAACGTGTAAAGTGTGTCAGTGTCAACGCTGGATTCTTCGAACAATTACTTTAAATCATAATTACATATTTTATTTGTTTTATTGTTAATTGTTGTAACAACACGAAGAAACACTTGGTTTGTTTCGCTTTTAATTTCTCATATTATCAAAACATAGTGTAAGTTAAATTTCTCGAAAACAGATCGAGATACCGAAATGAAACAAGAGTACATAATTAATGGAAAAATGATAGCTCTTTCAGGTTTTGAATCAAGTTTCATGTTAAATACACAGGGTAAAAAGTTATTAACTAAATTTTCGGTAAAATTGGTCGTAAGTGGCGCCCTCTATGAGCAATGCTGAATTTACAACACGCGTCTTATTCGTCGCCTAAAAAAATATAGTTTCACAAATTTTCAAGTTTCTAACCTATATATTTTCAGAATAATCGCAAAAAACGATTTAAAATTTTAACTTTCAACACTCTGTATTTTCGAAACTATTAACTTTCGGATAAGGCGTGTTTGCGCCAATGGTCACCATTTCACGTGTAGTATCTTCAGCTTTCGACTTTCCCATTGTTAATGAATCACCCTGTATAGATGTAGATGTGTTAACCACTAGCGGAAATACTGGGAAGTAATGTCAACGATAACCTTAGAATTTCGACGAAATTGAGTGTTATGGAGTTTGAACAAGTGCATTTAATGTGTTATACTATATCTAACAAAAAAAGACTAAATTTGAAATAAATGCAGGTTTACTATGATAAAAAGGTTTTAGGATAGTTCAAATAAATCTAAAACTAATTTTCCAAATAAAAATCCTATTCTGTCTCATTAAATAATAGCTTCGTCATATCATGAAACCCAAAAACTCAAACTACTGTTTTATGCGTGTTCCAAAATTCGTCCATAAAACTAAATCCTCTATTGAATATGTCTAGGATGTACATACGTTGTGTGAACAATGGTTTAATTTGTTGATTTTCCACTACCACATCGATAGAGTTTTTGAGGAATAGCACTTCTAATTTAGCGAACTTTTCTGAGTGATCTGCTAATCATTGTCTGTGCTGTTTAACGTCTATCCGATAATCCATTCGTTATTATGTCTCTGCTCAACAAATATTTCCATTAAGCGGTATACGAAAATAATTTCTGAATATTTTTCATACAAAAATATATCACAGAGATTTGCAACTTAGTTTGCAAAACATATTTTTAATAAACAGCCAAGGAAATTGTAAAGTAATGCCAACTTTTGTTTAACGCTTGCAATAATAAATCAGAAGTACTAGATTTTTCATCTACAAATCTAGGTTTTTGAACATTTGTTCTAATTTTTTAATTTATTTATGTATTGTTATTTATATATATTTATTTATTAACTATTTCTTAATAAAATATGGTTATTACAATTATTGCAGTCTTTCAGATTTTAAAATCGCTATAACTTCGAATCTTTTTAGCAACTAGCTTCCATAATCAAAACGTGTAACAAGGCTAGTGAATTACTCTGTATGTATATCACACAAGCGTTGACTTTGATCTGAAACAGATATTTCTCTTATTTAAGATATCTAACAAATAGTTCTTTTAACATCAGTTGAAGTAATATGCACATAGATAATTTTTATTTACTTTAAAAATTGCAGAAAAATTGTAGAAATCTGGCACTAAATGAAAATTTACACAATTGTCGCTAAAAGAGGACAGACGCAAAGTGTGTAAAAATTCAACATTGTGATTATTATTATCAACACTTTTCAAAAAATATGAATATTGTATTGCATTCAAGTTTGATCAAATTTGTTCTTGGCTTCTATTCATTATACTAGTAGAATCTCTTGTGTGAATTTTCGTGACATTATTCTCTGGGTATGACCAGCATTTGAAATGGTTCGTCTTAACAAATACGACACTTATTACATTGTATATTCATACCTGTATCTCTAATGTGTTTGTACAAAATTTTATTTTCTACCTCCGAGTTGATTGAAACTAATGTCATGCCAATCATTCCACAGAACTCGCTAGCTTCAAAAAATGTCTCCTAAAAAAAATATACAGAATTTTCATCATTTTTCCTTCCTAAAAAATCTGATTAAAATTCGAAGAACAAGACCATATAGAGAATTATTTTATATACGTAACTCTCTTACTCTTATCGAAAAGTCAAAATGAATGTGTTATTTATATATTTATTTATTTGTTTGCCCATTCGTTCGTTTATTTATGTATTTGTTATTTATTTCTATTTGGGATGCAAATAAGAAAAGTCCATTGTTATATCTGCTAATGCTGAACAAACAGACTAGGTAACATAAAAAGAAACATGCTAAAGCTACGTATAATCTAACAGTGCTAATAACAAATAAAAAATACACCGTTATAGACACTGCACTTTATTATTATTTTATTAGTCCTTTTGATGAAAATGATAGTAATTTTAGTTTTCAAAACAGTCTGTACTCAGAAGCTGGTGGAATCAAAAATACACCCTGTTTCAATTAAAACTTCCCACCCGGAAAATATCGGAATTAAAAAAAAAATTAAAAAACCTGAGAAACGTCGATTTTCTTTTCAAGGGGACACATGCTTCGAAATGATCGTTCGGAAGAGGGAAACTTGAACATTTAATAAAATAACATTTTTTCATTCATTGATATTTTGTTGATGATTTTATTGTCATATCCAAACCAAAATTTAAAAAGTCGTTTGACGTCGTGAGCAGAATTGAAAAGCTTTCAAATAATGTGTCACTCAACATAGGGTGTCATTTAAAGTTTAAGGGTATTTTAAGCTCCTGCCTAAGGGGTAGCTTTCAAGACACCAAAACTTAGACCATCATGTCCTTGAAATGAAAATCGACGTGTCCGATATTTTCCAGGTGAGAAGTTTTAACTGAAACACCGTGTATATAAAACTCATCAAATATTGAAAATCAAACCACTCTGATAATTAGCAAATTGATAAAAATGTTGATATGCCTAAGAGAACGAAAAAAGATTGTAATTTCGAAAAGCTTTAGATGTACGACGAAACATACTTTTTGTAGATCAAGTGAGTCCGTTATCCAATAATCTAGTACATCGACTAAGATTCTTCTGTTATTGAGCCATAAAATACTAAAACGTTTGCAAATATCGAGATAATTATTATATGTAATATTCTATATATGCAAATAAGGAAGTATTCTAAGTATTGTCACAACTGTAAAAAAATTTACCAACCCCTCTTCTTCGGGTCAAAACAAAGCTATTAAAAGAATATACTTATGATCAAAATACTTCCTTGATGAGTTTACGTTAACATATTAAAACATTTCAGCAAATTTTGGTGAAACAAAATATCATTAAAATATCGACTTACCTTAAAAGTACTAAAATAATAATTTTTTCCTCTGAAACGTAGTAAGTTAACATTTGGAGATACATACAGGCTCCTTGAAGGAGATAAACTATCTGCAAAGGAAAATCGTGAAAGAAAGCTTAGGTATATTAACGTATCCAAAAAACAGGGGCGTGCGTGTGGGAAATTATTTAAAAAATAGTATACACGCCACTGCATATTTTCAATTTTGTGAGTTTTTTGTAATTCCTGTAAGATGTCTCTTAGTATTTTTTCATTTGAAGCCTAGTTCAAGAGAAAAATTCTGTTTTATTAATTTATTGACCACACAATTGTGGTGTTTTTAATAAAATGGCATTTCTCTTCGGAACTAAGCTTCAAATGATAAAACTTTGACGGACATCTTTTTCCAGATAATGAACGAAATTTACAAAAAAGTACCTACTCCGAAAAATAAAAGTGTCAGAGGCGTGCACATTATTTTCCAAAACAAACAATAGTCTAGCCCACATACACGTCACTTGTGAGGTGATTAAGTTTTAGTTTAAACAAAAAACATGACCTCTAATAAGCAGATATTTAAAAAATATATAAAACCGCCGTGTATTTTAGAAAAGGAACTTTTTGGACAGGTATTGTTACTGACAAATAAAAAGCTCTCTTCTACCATTTTAATTACACAGCCCCAGAAAAAAAAGTTCTGTACCAGAGACTTGTTTGCAAAATCTGCGGGGATACAGCTAATAGACTTAAACACATTTGATCAAGATCAGAACAAATTTTTCCGAATTTTGCGCTCACTAACGTGATTTTGTACGATTTATCACTACTTTTGGTGATTATTGCAAAATTTGGGACGATGCCGCTTAAAATACTTCAAATTTGGATTAAGCACATCAAGTTCAGAACAAATTTTTTCGAATATTTTTAAACTCATCAAGGTGTTTTTCGGCGATTTTTCACTATTTTTGCCAATTACTCAAAATTTTGAGCGTTTTTGATCTAAACGGACTTCAGTTTCAGATTTAGTACGTCAAAATACATAAAGCCTATTTTGTCAAATCAAAGGTACAGACCTCTTTTTTTATTTTGTCTGACGGTGTACTTAACTTGAATGAAAATCAATCATGAACTTACCAGGATTTTGAACTAACTGACTAGAGTATGACTTTGTTTTAAAAACGGAATCAGCACCATGAAGGGAATCGTATCGCTCGCAAATAAAGAAAAGTTTTACGTCGCAATTGAGATCATTCCAAAACAACCCTTCATTTCTTTTGTGCACCAACTCCACGCACAGTTCGTTAATGTTGCCTGGTTGACCAGGAAGCCAATTCGTATATTCCATAGTTCGTCCAGTTGATAGCCACGCTAGCTTCTTGCCAGTATTAAATTTGAATCCAGAGGACCAAAAATTACCCGCCGCAACTGTAAAAATACGGTTATGGTCACATTAGCAAGAAATATATAATTTATTAAATATTTTTATCGGTATCCGTTATATGTATTTAAAGCAAAACTCTAACTGAAAATCTTGAAGAAGAGCTTCATTAAAATTTAAAATTAAAATAAACGTTTACAATAACCACTATAGTTATTAACAATAATACGACTTACGTGTGTCTCGGGCATATTTATGCAATTCCTTGTTTTCTGTCTCCGAGTTGATGGACACTAATTTCATTTGAATTGCTTCGCAGAACTGGCTAGCTTGAAGGAAACTGGCCTAAAAAAGTAATAATATGTTATATGATTTTGATACTTCTCTTCATAGGTAACTCTAGAATAAAATAAACGTTGGTGCAGTATTCATTCTGTTAACTGATGAGAGAAGGTTAACTGTTAATGAGCTTTTAATAATTGTAAATAAATATAGTTTTATATAAATATGGGCAAAACTAAGACAGGAATAGTACCTTACCCTAAAATCTGTGCCAAAATAATAACTTTTCCCTTGGGAATGTAGTAAATTAATATTGGGATGTAAGTACGGGTTTTCCAAGGTAGATAAGCTTTCTGGAAAAGAGCATAAGAAAACGTATTAGATTTAATAATTAATTACACAGCCCTACAAAAAAAGTTCTGTACCAGAGATATGAGTAAATAGTTTTTGTGTATTTTTTGACGCTGAATCCGAATCCTCAGCCCAAAAACTGGTTTACCAGGTAATCTTTATTTTGCTACTTACTGTTCAGTATCTGAATCAAAGTTTTTATAATAAGAATAAAAGTTTTTAATTTTATGATTATAAATCATTATTGCTTTGTATTTTTTACTGACCATAATCTTATCCCGTTGAAATTTTTAAAATATACATATTCTTCAATAAAGCAAAAACTTTACTGCTGCTAACGCGTTTATTACATGAACTATCAATGTAAAATTTTTGGAAAATATAAATTTAACCCTTTATTTAATTGTCTCTAAAATCCCGGTCCGATAATACATCCAATAGTTAATTCACAATTAACGTTATATAAAAAAGTGATATTGGGAACAAAGAGGATTATTTTAATTTTTTTTAATTACCGTAAAAATAAGCTCTATTTAATTCAAAAAGGGTGAATTCCCTAGCGGATTTTGCCTGACCCTGAGGCAATTTGTTTATAACTCTATTTTGCACGTCCTACGTTTGGTAATTAAACAATTAGTTGCAAAAAAGGTACGAAATTAATTAACAAATAGCTGGAAGAACAATTTCACGGTCAATCGAATCAGTGTTTGGCACACATGTTAGTCATCAACATCCATCATTTTTGCAATAATAATGCGCAAATTTCGAAAACTGATCTTTCCGCTTTCGACCTTTATTTTACAGTTAACAAATAGATGAAAATGACTTTAGGTACCTTAAGTTGTAGGTAATTTAATATTCTTACAACACAAAATAATTAATTTTTGCGATATGACGTCTAGATTTTCATGGGCAGTAAAAAAAGTGAAAAAACACGTAATTTTGCAACTTATTTGCAATTTGCGAACTTAGCATCACTTCTTTCGAGTTACTTTTTTGATATTATAATTCTACGTACCCTTTCCCGTCATATAGTGCAAAAAATGTCTACTAATATTTTTTTCAGATTTTTACAGTTTTATGATCTTATTCGACTGGAGTATATTATAACTTGATCATGATCAAATCTAAATCGGAACATAGAATAAATTAGTATTTACTTGTTTGTTTATGTGTTTCGCAGATAATGGCTTGCTTCGCATTGCAGTCTCTGTTATTAAAATACAGTTCCTTTTTGCCGGTAAACCACAATTCGAGGCATTGTTCAACTAAAAAATCAGGTTGTCCGTCGCTCCATTTTGTATATTCCACAATTTCCATCGTCGTCATCCAAATCCAGTTTTTGTTGTCTACTAGTCTGGAGCCAGAAGTCCAGAAGATTTGCTCTTTGCCTAGAAAATTACAATCAGATAACGTATAATTAACTTGTTTGACTTACTTGTCTGTTTAACAAACTGCGTCATTGCGTCAAGTTCTTGGGATGATTTAATCGTTACCAGATTCATACGAATATTTTTACAAAACTGGTATGCTTCGATAAATGTGAACTGAAATAAAAAAAAGATAATTCTTGTAATAATTATTATTACGCATATCTACCTTAAGTTTAGGAACATAATAACCTTTCTCTTCAAATCGGAAGAGAGGAATGAGAGAGGGGTCATCTAAAAATGAATTGTTCCAGGCTAAAACGTAACAAATGTTTCCACTCGTATTAAACTATTATTACTTTATAATTATATAATGTATACTTACCTTCTCCATTGTCATTACTTGCCAATTCGGCAGCCTCGAGGAAAACTCGTAGACAAGAAAACAGAAGCAGTATATAGTTAAAAGAACTCATCGTATTTTTTTATAAATATAATATAAACTTCTTGCAATTCCTTCTTATATACTCGTAGTTACCCGACAGCTGTTATCTCTGAAATAGAAGATAATAACTGACAGTGAACACAAATATATAATAAATAATTTGTAAATATAGAACATAATTATTTTATTTTCCATAAATCATAGAAGTGTTTACTAACAATTGAGAATATCTTAAACTAATGAAACTCTCACAACGACTAACTTGTGGAAAGAATAAATTGTGGAAATGTAAATCTTAATAATTTTATAACGTTTTCCTTCTATATCTAGGTAATAAAAAGTATTTCTTGAGTTATGTATATCATAATAACGACAATAAGTTTCATGTAATAGCTTTAAAACCATTCAGTGATTAATGGGTCATCTTAACTGGATAACAATTGTGAAAGTCTGTTTAAAATAATTGTAATAATAATTGTACAAATTGGAATAGTAAATCAGTAGATTATTTGCTTGACATTTATTTCATTTATAACATCAAGAATTAGTAACAATAACACAAGCCGACAAAATTTGGACGATCTTCTAATCCACAAAGCAGTATATACCTTTCCGAAAGATTTTGGTATGCTGACTTCGAATCCGAGGTCTAAATTTCTCAATTGGCTCTGGTTTTCAAGATATCTTAACCTAAAATCGCGATTTTTTGACATATTTGAGGTTATGTTACATGGCTAGGTAATTTTTTTTGCAAAACCATTAAGGGGGTCTTAAATTACTATACATACTCTTTAAAATGCGCTTGGATATCATTTTTGGTCTTTGAGATATCGCAAATAGTAGTTTCACTTATTTCTCGATTTTTGAATATACTGATAACACAGCACCACCAACAGCACCCAGAAGTAGGGATCTTACATGCTTTGGGGTCGATCATGAATCTGAACTCCAAAATACTCTATCACGTCAAATTTTACAATAAACTTTAAAAAATGTTTAAAAATTCAATATATGGCCGATATTTTACGCATTTTATCAATCTAGAAATACATTTACACGAAAAAGAGGCTAATATGCTCAATCCTGAACTCATAAACCCTTAACCCATAAACTCCAAAGCTCTTAACTCAGAAACCCACAAGCCTATAAATCAGCGATCTCAAAAACTTGTAAGATACCGATGAATGGGTGCCGATGAATTTAGGTTTGTGGTGCTGTGTTGTGAGTGTATTCAAAAATCGAAAAATAAGTCAAACTACTAAATTTCAATATGCGATTTCTCAAAGACGAATAATGATATCGGGATAAATCCGATAAGTGCATTTTAGAGAGTAAGGATAATACTTTAAGAACCCATTAATGGTCTCAGCAAAAAATTACCTTTCCATCATAACTTCAAATATGTAAAAAATCGCGATTTTGGCACATCTAGGTTAGGACATCGCGAAATCCAGAGACAGTTGAGAAATTTGGAGCTAGCATTCGAATTCAGCGCACCAAAATCCTTTGCCAAAGTATATTCGTCTTGTTGGGTTAAAATCTTGTATAATCTTGTGTAATAAAAGCAATAACTGAATTTGCTAAAATGGAATAACTGTGATAATACTCTTTTTGTTTTCTATACCTTCTGTTCATGTGCTTTATACACTTATAAAAATCGTATTTGAGAGATTATGCTACCATTTTGATAACAGTCTTGTATGAGGGAATTGCATTTAATTTTTGTGGTACCCCATGAATTTTTAAATCGTTGCAACATCAAGAATTAGAAAAAGCTTAAATATGTTAATCATTTTCCACCATTTCTCTTTTAACCAGTATTGTGAGAGTTAAAGTTATGTACTTACTTAAAAACAAATAAAAAAGAAGCAGTAACATGAATCTGAAGACTAACGCTAATGATACATTATTTTTCGCATCTCCGTTCTTCTATGATTCATGTTGGTAGGTCTCACTTATACATGACGCGCGCACAGGTTTAAAGGAAAAAAGTGTTTCGTAACAGTCCGTTACTGTAGTGTATTTATGCAAAAGAAAAGAATTTCCATGAATCCGAGATAAATCACACGTAAGGGAAATATTATATTAATTATCCATTTCAGATGCAGATGTATTTCATTAAAATTTTTCCGTTAGCCGCCCTTGACTTGATAATACTAGCTCGTATACTATGGTACACGCAGAGCAGAATTTTTAGACTAATTGAAATGCAAATTCTACCTTAAGCTAGCTAGCTTTAGCTGGTCATATTGTAGTTTTTTTAAATTATTTTGACCGCGAACATTTGTTTGCAGAATATACAGTCGTTTTAACCCTCTTAGTAGGGCGTGGCCGCTTTGTTTTTTTTGCCCGTATTCCATGTGACATGTAGAGAGTGGTTTTCACTCCGCTTAAATGGAAAGACTAACTAGCCATATCGTAGTTGTTTTAACTACCTTGCCCGCAAACTTTTTGTTTGCCAAATATTTGTGGCAGAACGGTCGTTTTGACCGTTTTAATAGGGCGTAGCCGCTTGGTTTTTTGCCCGCATTCCATATGACATGTAGCGAGTGGTTTTCACTCCGCTTAAATGGAAAGTCTAGCTAGCCATATTGTAGTTGTTTTAACTACCTTGCCCGCAAACCTTTTTGTTTGCCAAATATTTGGGGCAGTACGGTCGTTTTGACCGTCTTAATAGGGCGTAGCCGCTTGGTTTTTTTGCCCGCATTCCATGTGACATGTCGAGAGTGGTTTTCACTCCCTTGAATGGAAAGTCTAGCTAGTTATATCGTAGTTGTTTTAACTACTTTGCCCGCAAACTTTTTGTTTGGCAAATATTTGGGGCAGTATACGGTCGTTTTGGCTGTATTAAAAGGGCTTAGCAGTTTTTGGTGTTTTGACCACGGACAATTTGTTGCAGAATATTTTGGGGCACTATGCGATTGCTTTAATTCGACTAAATATGGTCTAGTCGTATTGACCTTTTGTCTGCATTTCATGAAACATGTAAAGTGTGGGTTTCACTCTTTTTACATGCAAAGTCTATCTATCTATCTCTAAGCATTTAGTAGTTATTTTAACCATGTCACCCATAACTTGTTTTAGACATTTGGGTGTAATTCTACTGCTATTTTTACCCTCTGCATACCATGGTATACACGCAAAGTGGATTTTTCGTTCTAAAGGCTTCCTATTATAATTTTGCTTTGCTTACATAGCAAAATTTAAATAATCTGCTTAAAGCTACATATTTTCAGAAGCAGTGATTGTACTATGTTTCTTAAAGAAAAATAATAATAATAAAAAATAATTGTACTTATGTACAAATATAATGCAATTTTTTTTAGAGATAGATCGGAGTTATGTTAACCCCTTCTTTACTCTTACGGGGTCTTACTCAAAATAGTGAGTTAGTATATACTAATACTCACCACTCCCTTTTAATTCTAACAAAAATTAGAAATTTACAACTTTTTACAGATGAGAGTGAATTAGGTGCTCAACAAATTAATGTCGTATTTAGTACGAGTTCCTGGAGATAGTTACGTCATATTAAACAGTGTAAAAGGCGAGTAATAAAATTAAGAGAGTATACCAAAAAACAAAGGGGGAGGAGCGAAAATTGTGAGCAGTATGGATAAGAAGAGCGATGTGAAGAAGAGTTTACTGGTAAAAGAAAACAAAATTATTGAAAATAGAGTACATAAAATCTAAAAATGAGTGCATTGTTTTGTCACTCAGAGGTACTATTCTACAATGAAACTTAATGTGAATTATACAAGCAGTTTTTCTAATAACACCTTATATATTTTATTTGATTAAAATAATCTATGTAGATGTAGGTGTGTACATACATGTACGTATGTGTATATAAACAAAAAAAAAACATTTTATTACTAGGTATAGCACTATCATCAAACATGAGCATCAGAGTGACATGTTATTATAGAAAACTTAATTGAGCAACTCCTCTGTCTCTCTATAAGTATATATATATATAAAAAACATATACATTTTATACATACTGTTTCATTTATGACAGTGTATGAAAAGATAGCAATTGAGGAGAAGATAAAATTAAGTGATAATAAGGGAACTTTCAATTAAGTATTAGGAAGCAATTACGTAACGAAACCTTAATTGAAGTATTAGGTTAGATGAAGAGTAACGTGATAGTATGAATAAAATGTTAATATTAACCAGAGTTACAACCTAAGAAGCGTACGAAAGTTATAAAAGTTAAAAAATATACACTGTAAGGAACATTTGACCTATTTTCACTCAATTTCACTCAATAATGTATCAATTTCTGTCCACTCGATAGAATGAAATTTTCCTCTATTAGTATGAGTAAATACAACTAAAACTTTATGAGTAAAACTATCGATTCAAATATTATCAAAATGTGTAGAGTTGTCAAGGTGCCCAGTATTGACTGAAAATGGGTTCAATAATGTCACTCAATGGATTTCACCCATACCGATTTATTTACAGTGTATATCTAAGTATATGCCTGTACATATAAATATATAATTTACCAAGTATGGAATTTTGTTGATTGTGGCAAAACAAATCAAAAAGTTTGCATCTGTTAGATGAACTACATGCCGTTTGAAGGTATAATACACAAATTATATTAGTACAAGCAATATCGAAATAATACTATCTAAAAACTACATCAACGACAGACAAAATCAAAAGGATGTTTATGAAGTTTAAAATATAAGTTCAGACATTTAGTTGCTTCCTTTTGGCTGAAAATTAATGTATAATCTAATTTGTCATGGACATATTAAACCAATTAGTAAAATGAATATAGCAACTGCATCTTACTTGAAAGAGGTATTTAATTAATGGCCTTATACCAAAGTTATTCAGAGACAAAGTTGTAAAAAACGGCTTCCTTTAAGAATGTAACATACTGTAACTTTATAGCTATGCTCTTTGGGCTATGAATCAAAGAAAAATTTGGTTTTCACAAATCAAAGCAACAATTAATATCACACTTATATAACAAGTATACATCAAATATCACGAAATGGAACTACATTTATATGTGTCTTATAGCTATTATGTCAGTGGACTATACATTGACTTGAAT